GATGTACTGCCTTTTATAACTTACAGAAATATTTTTTAAGGATAACCCCTACTGCATGTCTGAGAATGTTTATTTTTCTTTTGATGAATATAACTGTGAATCTTACAATTCGAACAATGAAAACAGTACAAAAAGTTAAGTGTTCCCAGTAAATTTCCCAAGTATCAGCTAGAATAGTTGGAAAACAATATACTAATTTAGGCGTTCTTTACTGTTAAACAGATTATATTATTAAACCTAATGTCTGCTATACTCCAAATGTCCAGATACAAAATTATTATATTATTATTATTATTCTTATTTGAGATGGAGTCTCATTCTGTCGCCCAGGCTGGAGTACAGTGGCATGATCTCGGCTCACTGCAACCTCTTCCTCCCGGGTTCAAGCGAGTCTTCTGCCTCAGTCTCCTGAGTAGCGGGGACTACAGGTGCGTCCAACCACACCTGGTGAATTTTTGTATTTTTAGTAGAGATGGGGTTTCACCATATTGGCCAGGCTGGTCTCGAACTCCAGACCTTGTGATCCACCAGCCTTGGCCTCCCAAAGTGTTGGGATTACAGACGTGAGCCACTGCTCCCGGCCATGAAACTATTATTAAACCTCAGCTAACTACTCACCGATTTCTAGCCACAGTCCACTTATTTGCAACAGTTGTATACTGAAGTCTCTTCATTTATTCTTTCATCCAAACATTTACTGAATTTCCTGTCTTTTTGGGTTTTCAATTTAACTATTAAATTACGTTATTTAGTGAGAGTTTATTAAAAGACATCTTGTCATTAGGGGTTAGCTGACTACTCTTCCCTACTCTGTCTCTAGAAGCCTTTAACTTTGCCTTTGATAGCTACCAAAAATAGCCCTGGGAAAACACACACACACACACACACACACACGTCCCTAGGTGGATAAGCCACACAAGGGCCATGCTTCCTAATCCTACTATGGAAACCTAGTGTGTAACCTATTAAAAATTTTAATTTCAGTTGAAAACTCAACAGAAAAGCAAAATTACACTTCATTATATGTTATTTTTGTATGGTAAGCAAAGAAACAAATGAAAATCATAATCAGTTGCATATAAATTATTTCACTTTTCAGTGACACAATGATATATGAATGCATTACAGTATTTTAGAAATATATTTTATTGCCAAAACAATCACAAATAAAATATTATACTGGTAGTATGATAAAGCTGCAGTAAAAATGTGGTAGATGGATATGGTACACATTACCATTTGAGACCCACTGATCAAGTGTCACTACTATTATTTCAGTTGTCTCTACATCTCCTCCTAGTAGACATCCAGTCTGTGCTTGAACATATTCATCTATATCTCACCAGGTTGTCAGTTCTACTGACAGATAGTGTCAATGTTATAGAAATAATGAAGCATGAGTTTAGAGGGGACCTAGTTATGAGTTTAGAGAAGAAATAGAACCAAACTTAACATCTACAAGGATATTTCTTGATAACTTTCAAATTTCTGACTGGTAGTTAGTGGCAAGTCTCAGGGTTGTTTGTTAGCAAGTACATCGACACAAGTGGTATGTAAAACAGTTATATATTGTGTGAATGTCAAAACAAAGTAAGATTCTTAGTGAGAGGTCACGTGTAAACTGGAATAAACCCGCCCTATAGATCTCAGGCAGGAAAAAGTAATTAGGAGTTATAGATAGGCTTGTCTTGACCAGACCAGCTTTTAGAAAGTAGGGTCAAAAGGAAGCCACATTCCTCAAAATATAATAAAAGAGTCTGCCAATTAAATAAAAGGATTTATAGTTAAAGACCACAAATCCTGTCCCTATCATCCAGTGTTCTTCCTTTCTTTAGACAGAATTAAATTCATCTTCTACTTTGGATATCAGGAGAAACACCCCTAAGGGATTATCTTGGTTGATGGGGAGGTAACTCTCATCTGAAGAATGCATTTGAAAGGAAACCTAAGAATAAGTTTGATTAGACAATTCTGATGTTTGGAAATATCATGAGCTTGTCCCAGATCATAAGTATAATAAATGGCAGAACTGGGATTCAAACCCAGTTTCCTGAAGCTAAAGACTAAGTATGTGTATGTATACGTGTGTGTGTTCTTTTGTTTTGTAGTGTGGTACACTGCCTCCTTGGGAAATAAATATCAAATAAATATACTTATTTTATAGTTGGGATAAAAGCACTTTTAAACATGGCTTAAATTATAAACATACATGTAAGGAATAGGGTCTTCTGGACAGACTATTCTACTGGGATCTGCATTATGATCACATTCATATATTCACAGGAATGTTTCAAGCTAAAATTTTACGGGAATAACCTTAGCACATACCATTTTATATTAGTATGAGAATGACTGCTATCTTTAAATATGTGAACATGACATTTTAAAAGGTAAGGTTTTATAGCACTAAAACAAATACAAAGGTCAACTTGATTTTTGTATATCTCTATGTGATTTTCTAACTTGTTTTGCTTAATTTCTCATATATACAAGTTTGTTTACACAAAGAGTTCAAACTATCACTATAATGACATAACAAGGAAATAAACCATCAGTCACATATTATCTTTTTTTTCTTTGAGTCAAGGTCTCACTCTCACCCAGGCTTTGAGTATAGTGGTGCAATTGTGGCTCACTGCAGCCTTGAACTCTTGGGCTCAAGTGATCCTCCGACCTCACCCTCTTAAGTAGCTGGAACTATAGGTGAAAGCCACCAAACCTGGCTAATTTTGTTTATTTTTTGTAGAGATGGGGTCTTTCTATGTTGCCTAGGCTGGTCTTGAACTCCTGGACTCAAGTGATTCTTCCACTTCAGCCTCTCAAAGTGCTGGGATTACACATGTGAGCCACCACACCTGGCCACATATTATCTTTATGAATTAAACAATTTAGGATTCTTCTAACATCCTTTTCTATACATAAGTCACTATAGATTTATTTTTCATTCATTTTTAATGTTTTCATTTGGTAAATAAAATGTTAACTTCCTAACATGGCTTACAGTGTTATAACTTGGTTTTAATGTATACAGCAATTCCCAAAGAGCAAGACACAATAATTACATAATGAAATGTAAAATAAATGGCTAAATCTAATTATTTGACCATACTAAGCTTTATACAGAAGAATATTCTGACATCAAAAGCAGCTGTATGCTAAAGTTAATCAAGCCACAATAAACCAAATTAGACATGTGATAAAATCTGGAAGTATGCATATGGCATTGGCTGGCTACTTAAAGATTTATCAAAGCGTATTTTTTTTCTCTTTCTTTGGATTAAGGACAAAAGAAAATAATTCACCGGTTTGTACTGTAGTAAACCCTAGCAGTTGAAAATTTAGGTATGAAATACATATTGTATTATATTATATTATATTATATTATATTATATTATATTATATTATATTATATATGAGATGCTATCAACTACCTCTATACAAATTATATTTTCATGTGGATTTTGACATAGTCCTAGTTTTATGAAGGAACTAAACATAGTATATGAAAAATGTTTTTTGAACGTCAAAAGTGCTTTACCAGTAAGTTTTCCTCCACCTCCATTTAAGATGCTTTTACTATGACTTGGTTAAGATTACCTTAAGGTATTTCTAACTACATTATCTATATTTCCAAATTAAAGAAATATACATATATATATATAAACTTTGTTTTTAGACATTGCATTTGGATTTTTTATATTGTAGAAATTAAGATAAATGAGGATGATTAAGAGTGCTTAGGAGAATAAACCTTGTGGGACAGAAACCACCTTTAAACAGCCTGTATCTTCCAACTGCTTGATGCAAAAGCTAAAAAAAAAATACAGAAGCTATTACTTTAGGTCAGGGACAATGGTCTTGTTCATCTTTGTTTACCTACTGTGTTTTTAAGGTCTGTATTTACACTGTCATGTTTATACTGAAAGGCACTGTCAGACTGCTGGTAGGGGTGTAAACTGGTAAAATTTGACATGAGAATAAAGTCTTAAAAATGTCAGCTGGGAGCGGTGGCTCATGCCTGTAATCCCAGCACTTTGGGAGGCCAAGGCAGGTGGAACACCTGAGGCCAGGAGTTGAAGACCAGCCTGACCAACATGGTGAAACCCCATCTCTACTAAAAATACAAAAATTAGCCAGGTGCAGTGGTGGGCACCTGTAATCCCAGCTACTTGGGAGGCTGAGGCAGGAGAATTGCTTGAACCCAGGAGGCTGAAGTTGCAGTGAGCTGAGATTGCGCCATTGCACTCCAGCCTGGGTGACAGAGTGAGACTCCATCTCAAAAAAATAAAAAAATAAAAAAGAAAAGAAAAGAAAAGAAAAGAAAAAAAGTCATATATAATAATTTAAGAGATAATTCCACTTCTAGGAATCTATCTAAAGACACAGTCAGAAATATTAACAATTTTTTTAACAGATATTTACCTTGATATTTATAATAATCAACAGAAATTCCTCCAACGAGGTAAATATTTAAATTGTGTTTTATCAATGACAGAATAATATATCATTAGAAATGTTTACACATAGTTATTAATGACATGAAAAAAGGTTTATTGTACAATGTTGATGAGAAAAGTAAGATACCAAGTTGAATGTCCAACCATGATATGAACTATGTTAAAAAACATACTCATAGGAAAAAACAGTTATGAAACAAATCAAAATGTTAAAATTGATCAATTTGATTTGAGGAATTTTATGTTCTTTTTATATTTCTCTGAATTTTCAAAATGTATTAAAACAGTCAAATTATTTTTACAGAAAATGCCAAGAAATGCTTTTTTGTTGTTGTTGTTTTGAGATGGGGTCTCACCACATTGTCCAGGCTGGTCTTGATTTCCAGGCTCAAGTGATCATCTTGCCTCAGTCTCCCAAGTACCTGAGACTATAGGTGCATGCCACTGGCAAGAAATGCTTTAAAGTCTCTCTCATATAAAGGAACAAAACATTATTTCTTATGATTTAGAAGTCACTATACAATTTGTGAAAATAATGTTTACCTCATCATCATCAGGAACTGGTTCGTATAAGGATGGAACCCAAGCCAGAATGTTGCAGTCTCTGCTACCACTGTAAAGTTCCTACAACACAGAAGGCAAAGATGATATTGTGGATCAAGAGCTGATACCAAACTGAAATGAATTATACCATTTTTGAAATAATTAGGTCACAGTAATTAGATTAATGCTATTTCTACTCCCTAAAGAAACTAGGCCGATGCTCTTTTTCCTTTGTTTCTTTGTTAGTAAAGCTTTGTTTTGTATTTAAAAATATTAGGATTTGTCAAGCTTACTAATGGTGTGAAAATTTTACAAGTACACCCCAAATCCTAGCAGTTTTATCAATTATAGTATCCATATATTTTTAATGTCAGAGAAAGAAAGAGTTTGTCTTTCTGTGTCCAAATAACTGAGCTTCAATAAAGACTTCAGTGAAGAAACCATATGAGCTTCTAAAACAGGCCAAGTTCTCAAAAAGTTTTATTTAACTTACAGCTGCCTAACTGGCTGCAATTCAACAGAAGAGCTTGAAGATGTATATTCCATGCCTGTTGAGAAGTTTACTTCATAAGGAAGCTTGGGGTGATGCACAGCCTATGTCAATGTCTATGGATATACTGTTTGCTTATGGCTGAACAATGCTCACGCCCCTCCCCCCCAAAAATCAAAGAAATATGTTATATTGGCTTTTTTCCTCTGCTGTTTTATACAATTTGTTTTTATTATTGTACATCTCAAAAACAATATGAGGCATGGTATAACTGTGTTTTTTATTTAAGGATGTGGGAAAAGGGAAAATAAGATTATATATTTATAGAAAATGTAGATTTAAAAAATTGTTAGATATACATTATCAAATTTCCTAAATACAAAATTTTGTTGACTGTATTACAAAATCTAGACTATATGGCTACACAAACTAGCTGATGCAAAAATATATATGTTCAGTGCCCTTGAGTAATTTTATTTCCCTGAGAAGGCCAGGTAATGCCCAAGATAACTTGGTCAGATAAGGTTATAGGGCAATTCACAATAAGTATTAACACACCCAGTGAAGACATAAAGGATATTCTGTACATGTTCAAGAAAGAAATATTGAAAGCAGCAACATTTAAATTAGAGTGACTAATAAAGAACACTGAGATAGAAAGATTTACATTAAGCCTTGAAGTGTCTGTGATAGATGGAGGAGTTCATTTGGGCAATAAGATTTTCTTAAAAAATAAGCGCAAAATGTAAGTTACAACTGCAGTCCAAAAGACTTTTTTTTCCCCTGAGTCATATGAGAGTAAGTTGCCAACATTAGGCCTTATTACTCTTGAATAATTCAGTGTAATTTTCCTGTGAACAAGGGTACTTTCCTTTGTAGTTACGAAGTAACCAACAAAATCAGAAAATTCATATTACTACCACCATCTAAAGACCCCATTCATGTTTCATCATTTGTTCCAATACTGTCCTTTATAGCAAAAGGGGCCAGTTAAAAATCACATCCTGCACTTAGTTGTCAAGTCTCTTCAGTTTTCAAGCTGGAACAGTTCTTCAGTCTCTGGCTTTTCTGACCTTGACAATTTTGAAGACATACACCAGTTACTTTGTAGAATGTCCTTCACATTTGGATTGTCTTATGTTTCCTCATGATTAAATTTGAGTGATCCAATTTGGCCAGGAATATCACAGAAGTGATGTCCCATAACTGGGATGCTAACTTAGATTATTTGATGAAGGTGATATGTGCCAGGCTTCTTCAGGTTAAAATTAATCTTTTTAGTTTTGTACTTCATATTTTGTAGGGTGATACATTGAGATTATGTAAATATCTCATCCTCATCAAATTTTCAATTTATTAATTTACTTACTTATCCCAGCCTAGATTCATGAATTTCTATTCTCTTGCCCATGTTGGAGTGCAGTGCTGTGAACACGGCTCACTCAATCTCCTGGGCTCAAGCAATCCTCTCGCTTCAGCCTCCTGCACAGCTGGGACTACAGGCATACACCACCACACCTGGCTGATTTTTTTATTTTCTGTAAATACAGGGCCTCATTCTATTACTTAGGCTGGTCTGGAACTCCTGGGCTCAAGTGATCCTTTCGACCTCCCAAAGTGCTGGGATTACAGGTGTGAGCCACTGTGCCCAACCACTGGCACGATTTTAATCCATTCTAGGCACACATATTAGATAAGCTCCAATTTGGTAGAAAGAAATAATTTGTGGTCAGAGTATCTGGGATGAAATTTTGGCTGCGTCTCTAAGTAACCTTAGACAAGAAAAGAGGGACAATATTTTAATAATTTATTTGAATACAAATACATGTGTTATCAATAACTACTTGCAGGTTAGGGGCAAGTCATGTCACCTCTCTGGTGCTTTAGTTTTCTTCTCTCAGAACACTAAAAATGTTTAACAACTGGTATACACCTTCTTACTGACTAGTAAGAGATAATGGCCATAGGGTTGGAGTAGGGTCTTGTAGGTCCTCTTTTAGTTGCTGGGTTAAGGTGAGGTCTAAGAGGTCCCAGGGAAGGGGCTGAGGCTAGCAGTCACTTGGGGGGCTTGGTGCAGCAGCTGTTTACCAGCCAGTAGGATACATCAATATTTAAATATTTTAATAATGAATACTGCCATAATGGTATATACTGGCTAAAAAATCAGGTCTATATATCTTACAGCACAGTGTCAGCCACAAATTAGGCAATCAGTATTAAAGAATGAATGAATAGGAGATTCACAAAGTGATAGTCTCCTGGAGCTCTAATAATCCGTAATTTTCATTCTATCAGTATTTAACTTACATGAGTTTCATTTTCCTTACCTACAAAACAGGGAAAATACCAACTGTCTTGCAATGTTAAACTCATTTAAAGGAGTACATGAGGTAATTTGTGCAAATGTTCTCTGAAAAAATGAAAAATGATCTGCTCCATTGGTGATGTGAAAAGGTCTGGATGTAAAACAAACAAAAGTCAGGGCATTTAAGAAATTATATAGGTTGTATTAACTTCAAAACCTCCCTTTATTAGCCATTGATAGAAAATAAGAATAGATAATTCACACATACATAAACCAACATATACAAATTATATTTTATAATTAAATGCCTGTATTTCATTTCTTACCCAAAAGACTGTTTGCAAGAAATTATTTTAATTCACCACAGATTTTCAATTGTTAAATAAATGGTCATATGCAAAAGAAAGATAATTCATACCAATCAAGTTGCACAGCATTATATTGATTCATTCATATCTTGTATGCCATCTAAAAATCTAGACTGTGCTAGTCTCTATTAAATGAATCCTACTACAAATGTGGATTAAAAGTATAACTCCTCAGAATGAAATCATAATTTATTCTTTTACATATAACTGGTATGGCAAGCTAGCTAGCTGAACATTTTCAATTCCTGTATCATTCTTACCTGGAAATTTGACTGAAATACACAGCAGTCAACAGTTTTATAATGTCCCTTAAGCATAGTTATCTGTTCTCCTGAGTAAACTGTATAAACAGCAATGGTGCTACCATATGGTACAAAAACAAATTCTGAACTGCAGCCACAGGAGACAGTGAATTTCAATCCTTTTTTACTGTTATTACAAACTTTTCCATAGTTCACCTGTAGGATTAAAATCATAAAGTTACTCATCTCTTAAATCTAAATTTAAAAGACAACAAAGACTAGGAGAAATACTTAAAATATTATGTTATAAAAAGGGCTCTTTTAAATTTAAGGAAAATGTTCAACGTTGACAGAAGAAGGGCCAATGACATGAATGTACATTTAACAAAAGAGGAAATACAAATAGTAAAAAACCACAAAGGTAAATGTTTACTTTTCAATCTTAATAGAAGTAAAATACAGACTTCAACCTTGAAGAATCATTTTAGACCATTTAGCAAAAAATTTAAAAAACGTTAAGACAAATACTGGTACAAGCGAGGTAAACATGTTGGTGGCAGTGTAATTTGGTTATTCTTTCTAAAAGGGCAAATGGTTTATTAATGCTCTTTCTTTTCAAAAGAATAATATTGCTTCAAAAGACTATTCCCCAAAAACCATTCTTTTCAAAAGAATGGTATTTTTTGGGGGGGATTATATTCTTTTTTTTTTCCTGCTGATACTTCTTTTATTTCTGTTATAAAACAGAGTAGGGGTTAAATAAAGGGTATTGAGTTTGTCAGCTCCAGTCTCTTGGGGCTCTTTTTCCTGGAGAGAGTGCAGAGAACAGTGGGAAGAAAGAAGCATAGTTGTGGAAGCGTTCTTTTAATGCGCAGATGCTTCAGGGAGAACCAAACTATTTCACTGGTAATCCCCCGTCCCACTGGAACTGGTGCTTGGATCGGAAGGGAAGTGAGATCAGACAGTTAGTCATCAACACCGCCATCAACATTGCCAGAGAGGTTGACGGCAGACATCATGGAATCAGACAGCTCCCTGGCGATTTTATCTGCACATTTCTGCGTATTCTTATTCTTTAGGGAGGATGCCAGAGCCTGGCCCTGTTATAGGGAGTCCATCCCCATGATCCTCCGCAGTACTGGGCAGCAGTCCACTGGGCACACATCCACTTTACTGTTGTTTTTAGGGTGGTGATCCACATTGAGTTTAGCCCCACCCCTTCTGATGACGATTCGGATTGGTGCAATACCCAGTGAGATCTCCGATCTTATACATGGTGGCTTTATTTTCAATGGCATCTGCTATTTTCATCATCGGATAATGGAGCAACTTGATCTCCATTTTGAGTGGGTCCAAGTCACCCAACACCTCATCACATTCTCCAGTGGCCAAGCATTCCATGGTGTCTTCATTGACCTGCTCGGTATTCCCGATGTGAAAGACCTTGGTCATTTCCTTAATGATCTCAGTGCTGAGATAGGCAGGCAGTGTGAGTGGGTGGTGATGGTTATAGAAGCTGATCTTCCCGCTCACCCAGTCAGCTAGGACAGCTTTGGCTGCCTGCTCCTGACTGCATAAGTCTCTCTTCCCCAAATGGTGGGCCACTGCCATCAGAAAGTGCTCAGTAGTCTGGTACCCAGAGAGGAGGTAATAGTTGGAAATCTCCAGGTTGCAGCTCTGCAAGATGGTCTCCACTGGGGTTACCGGGTCTGCCAGTCTCTGCACGTGGATGCAACTATGCAGAATGGTGCCCACCTCGGAGCTGGGCCCTGGGACAATGGCTAGAGCATCCAGCAGCCAGATGAACTTGTCCAGGTAGACCTCCTGCATGAATTTCGTGACCCCAGGAACGGCTCCCACGCGGCATGCATGGCTGTGCTTCAGGCTATTAATCAGGCTGCTCTTCCCAACATTGGGAAGGCCCACAACACCCATATTGATGTGGGTGCACACTTCACCAAGGTGGCAATAGTTCCCCAGAACCCTCATGAGGTTTTCAGCTCCAAAGCTGACATGCTGGGTCCTGGCCTTGAAAGCCACAGTTGGCAACTCATTCCGAAGGTAATCCAGCCACTTCACAACCTCCTTGGGGTCCAGGTCAATCTTGTTCAAGACCAGGACCAGCTTCTTGTTGCCTTCTGCCCATAGAACAGCCTCCTCCATTTGTAAGCAGCAGCAGCCTAATGGGTCTCTGGCATCCAGGACTTCCAGAATCACATCAGAGTATTCTACCACCTTATGGAACTCCTTGTAATAAGCCTTCCTCGTGGCCTCGTCATCCAGCTGAGGAAACATATTTAATTCCTGCACAACTTCCTCCTTACACTCAAACTCCTCCTGGCGTGTTAGGATATCCTCACAGTAGCTCTTGATAGACCTGCGTTTTTGTCTTTCTTGCTCCTAGGCAGCTTGCTTCTCCCTCATCTCCTCAACTCTCTTCTTTAATTCAGCCTCTTGATTGGCATGATCATTGGAATGAACAAACTGAGGAGCAGAGGGCACTTTGGAGGTTGCTTTCTTCCCATTTCGTTTTGCAGGCTTCTTACAGCCCTTGGAACCTTTACCTGGCTTTTCATTTTTGTTTCTAAGTTTCATCACGATCACCAGCTTGAAAGCAGATAGGCTCAAATCTGCTTGCTCTCTTCCTACACTTCCGGCGGGGATCTGAGAAGACAGGGTAACAGATGTTCTTGCACTGCTAGGGTCCAGACTTTGGACTTCCAGATGCCAGCCTGGCGGTGCCTGACTCTGCCGGTGTTTCCCTTATCTTTAGAGTTAAAAATTTTTTCATACACATAACATAAAATTTACCATCATAACCATTTTTAATGGTACTCAATGGCATTAAGTACATTCATGTTGTGCAACTCTCATCGCTATCCAGCTCTAGAACTCTTTTCATCTTGCAAAACTTTACCCATTAAACAGCAAAGATATTCTTACCCCCTGACTTGGTAATTGCTCCTGTGAATTTATCTTTTTTTGTTATTGTTGTTGTTGAGACGAAGTCTTACTCTGTCGCCCAGGCTAGAGTGCAGTGGCGCGATCTCGGCTCACTGCGAGCTCTGCTTCCCAGGTTCACGCCATTCTCCTGCCTCAGCCTCCCGAGTAGCTGGGACTACAGGCGCCCGCCACCATGCCCGGCTAAGTTTTTGTATTTTTAGTAGAGATGGGGTTTCACTGTGTTAGCCAGGATGGTCTCGATCACCTGACCTGGTGATCTGCCTGCCTCGGTCTCCCAATCCCTCCACCGGGATTACAGGCCTGAGCCACTGCATGCGGCCAGGAATTTATCTTAAGGAAATAATTAAATAGCAAAAGTTATATGCCCAGAGGAATTCTATCCAGCATTATTTAGAATGGGGAAATAACTGAGAATAGGTGTATATTCCTAATGTCATATTAATTTTATGATTTATATAAATCATAATTATGAAACTTATGCAGAAAACAGGGATAAAGGCTAAGTGTAAAAAAGCACAGACCATACATAGTTTGCACACTGTAGTTTTACCTTTAAATAAATAATTATGTATTTGGGACAAAAATTAAAATTCTACACTTGTACTCCAAAGGTATAGTGTGCAGGCTCAGTAGTGTGAGCATCACCTGAAGCAGTTAGACATGCAGACTTCCAGGCCCCACCCCAATCCTACTGAAAATCATCTTCATTTTAACAAGATCCCTAGGTAATCTGTATGCTCATGCAAGTTTGAGAAGCTTTGGGCTAAATAAATTGATGGGTTTACTTCCTGATAATAATTTTGATAAGAAGCTTAGGATGACTGTAAAACCAGTAACTAATCATTTGGGAATCATGATCATGCATATCAACAAAATCCATTTGTCGTCACAGCTAATACTGAAGTTTAAATAGTGATTTGTTGGCCGGGTGTGGTGGCTCACGCCTGTAATCCCAGCACTTTGGGAGGCCAAAGCAGGCGAATCACAAGGTCAGGAGTTCAAGACCAGCCTGGCCAAGATGGTGAAACCCTATCTCTGATAAAAACACAAAATAATTAGCCAGGCATGGTGGCAGGTGCCTGTAATCCCAGCTACTCAGGAGGCTGAGATACACAATTGCTTGAACCCGGGAGGCAGAGGTTACAGTGAGCCGAAATGGCGCCACTGCACTCCAGGCTAGGTGACAAAGTGAGGCTTTGTCTCAAAAAAAAAAAAAACTAATATTTTTTTCCCTAAAGGTTAGATGGGAGAGAGTGTGTGTGTGTGTGTGTGTGTATGTGTATATATGTGTATATGTACATAAACATATATGTGTGTGTATATGTATATATGTATGTATATACACATATATATCCCTTCTCTTTAAACATTTTTTCATACACATAACATGTGTTCCAGAATCACATGAGAGTATTCTACCAACTTACGGAACTCCTTGTAATAAGGCTTCCTCGTGGCCTCGTCATCCAGCACATATATATATGCGTATGTATACACATACACATACACATACACACAAATAAAAGCCCTGAGGTCAAAATGGATATATGCTAATAATCTATGGACACTATACTTGGCTTACTTTCCCTTTAGACTAACTTGGGCCAGAAATGGGTACATGCATTTAGCTACCTCATGGCAGCAGCAGTATAGTGGGTTAAATATTAAACTTATATTTGGCGGACTTGGGTTTTAAACACTCATCTTTCTTTTGTCCCTTATGAATAATGATTTAACCACTTCATTTCATTCTTCTTATCTGTTAAATGGAGTTAACATCATTTACTTAAAGAGTTTTTTATTGTGAAAAAGCAAATGAAATAATCCATATGAGAGTACCTGGAACACAAAGATATTCAGTAAGTTCCTAGATTAATTCCTATACATGTTTAAAAGTATAACATTCCCTCATCTGTGTTTTCTGATGCTACATGTGCAACAATTTGCATAATGATATGGGGGTGGGGTGATGAAGAAAAAGTACAAAACAGTTTTCAACTACTATTTCACTGGTCCCCCTGGAAAAATTATAAACTGCTAGACTGTGATGGGCTTATTCACATTTGTTTTATCAGGACACCTAGCTACAAAACCTATGTTCTCCCAGTATACCACACTGCTTTCCAAATATGAACTGGAAAGTGTTGAATGAGGTATGAATATTGAACTAGTGCATTAACTTTTGTCTTGTCCTTAGAGTTTCTTCCTCCAATCCATTCAACTTAATGTCATATTAGTATTTCTTTTTTTTTTTGAGACGGAGTTTTCACTCTTCTTGCCCAGGCTGCAGTGCAATGGCATGATCTTGGCTCACCACAACCTCTGCTTCCCGGGTTCAAGCAATTCTCCTGCCTCAGCCTCTGAAGTAGCTGGAATTATAGGCATGCGCCACCATGCCCAGCCAATTTTGTACTTTTAGTAGAGACGGGGTTTCTCAATGTTGGTCAGGCTGGTCTTGAACTCATATTAATCTTTCTTTTTTGTTTGAGATGGAGTTTCACTCTTGTTGCCCAGGCTGGAGTGCAATGGCATGATCTTGGCTCACAGCAAACTCCACCTCCCGGGTTCAAGTGATTCTCCTGCCTCAGCCTCCCGAGTAGCCGGGATTACAGGCATGCGCCACCACGCCCGACTAATTTTGTATTTTTAGTAGAGACAGGGTTTCTCCATGTTGGTCAGGCTGGTCTTGAACTCCCGACCTCAGGTGATCTGCCCGCCTCGGCCTCCCAAAGTGCTGGGATTACAGGTGTCAGCGACCACACCCGGCCTTCATATTATATTTCTAAAGCAACATCGTGATCAAATCATTTGTGGGTTCAAAAACTGTCAAAATCTTTCCAATGCCTATGGAATGAAGTTCAAATAACAGATTAAGGAAGGGAGGGATCTACCATTTATTAAGTGCTTACTATGTCACACACTGTGCTAGGTAATTATCTAAGAACCCCATTTTATGAACATAAATGCTTATCATAAAGAGTGGTATGTTAAACATTATTATGAAAGTATTGAGGAACAGGCTACTTTAAGATACGATGTCTTAAAAGTGGCATTTAAGGCAGGCTTTGAAAAGATTTTGATAGGGGAAGAGAATTTTGTGGACTTGGGATAGGATGATGGCAAATCCAGTTTCCTTATATTAATATGTGTTCCTTTTGTTGCCCCAGGAAAGATACATATCTAGTCACTAAGTGAATACCTATGTTGATGCAGAGACTACATCACAAGGCAGCTCATTTTACTGTCAAACAAGTACCAGCATAATAATTAACAATACTGACATACAGCATTTACTGAATGTCAACATTTGCTGTACCAGATAATGTGCTAAGTGTTGTACAAATGTTATTGCATATCCTCAGCACAATAGGAATATGATGAGATAGGCATTACTACACAAAAACAAAACACTAGAAAAGCTAAATAATTTGATCAAGGTCTCTTGGCTAGTGAATAACTGAACCTAGACTACATCAATAAGAAACCACTGTGCCGTATTGTTGTAAATGATTTTTCTTTCATTCCGTGAAGTGATCATCAAAGTACCTTACAATACAAGTGAGCACAGGATATTCTGGGAGCATCTAAGTTAGACTGGAGGAATTAAAGACAGAAGAGTCTTGAAAGCTAAGAAGCCGCTAGGACAGGAAGAAGAAGAAGGGTATGCTAAAGCAAACATAACAGTCTATGCAGCAGAATGAAAGGATGAGGGAACATGGTATATTTAAAGATTGCTAAGTAGTCCAAAGTCAGGGGAAAAAATGGTAAAGTTGTAAGACATAAAGCTGGTAATCTAGAAGGCACTGCTTAGTAAAGTCTTATACTCAAAAGACAAAGGCATTCAGTTTTAATAACCTGAAAATACTGGGGAACTACTGAGAATTTTCCACTGGGATTTGAGTTTGGGAAAAATGAGAAGGATGTTAGAGTAATTAAATAAAGAGATAACACCAAGAGTGAGGCTGGAAGGGATGACAGATAAAAAAAAATTGAGAAGGAGGAATTAATAGTTGGGATGAGGGACAGGAAAGAATAAAGAATAGACTCATAGGGTGACTGATAAAACCAGTAACTAAAATAGTAAACATCAGAATACCTACTTTTTAAATTTTAGGCTTTTTTCCTCTAATCCATCCTGCAACTTAATATCATATTAATCTTTCTAAAGCAATGCTGTTATCAAATCACTTGTGGGCTCAAAAATTGAAGATGTTTTTTCTTTTCTTGTGCCAAAACCTGTTACTTTGTGAAGTTTCCTGGTAGGTACTTGTTCTGTACTCTATGGCAATGGTCTCCAGAGGGTGGTTAACATACCTCAGGGAGTTTGCAAGGTATGAGGGGAAAAAATGTGATTTTTATCCAAAAATTAAGAGATTTTACTTTATTAAACATATTGACTCACAACAGAATTTGCACATAATTTAGAAATAATTATACATATATCAAAAGTATATACTTAAAAAATATTATAGTAAAGATACTATTACTAAGGCAACAATATATAATAAAAACAGTTACTATTTATAGTATGCCTATTATTTAGCAGGTACAATACTACTCTTTATTTACCTCTGTTTTACCCTTACAACTGAATTTTAGGTAGACAATATTCCCAATTTACAGGGTGAGAACAGTGAAACCCTGACAAGTCTTTCATGATGTCAGCTTAAGTAACTGCCTAATGCTCTCAATTACTACATGGAAGGAGAAA